CCCAAACGAAAAAGGCCATTTTTTGAAAATCACTGTCCCTAGTATCAATCAACTGATTTGTTCCTATCTTCTTTGCAGCCACCAGTCATAGCAGGGATAATTCCCTGCCCGCACCCGGATAAGTATCATGATGCGTGGGATGAAAATCACGTTCGAATGCCCTGTTCTTCCAACAATCTCTACCCTAAAACATCGCCGCAGGTAAGGAAATGCCAAAAATAATCATGCAACACGTGAGTTATTTCCTAGAATGACACGAATAATGAGATGTGTTAGAGTTCGGAGTGATAGATGACGATAGATGACGATAGATGACGATAGATGACGATAGATGACGATAGATGACGATAGATGACGATAGATGACGATAGATGACGATAGATGACGATAGATGACGATAGATGACGATAGATGACGATAGATGACGATAGATGACGATAGATGACGATAGATGACGATAGATGACGATAGATGACGATAGATGACGATAGATGACGATAGATGACGATAGATGACGATAGATGACACCCTCGTGTGATAGTTGTCATGCCGTTTGTGTGATTTGAAATAGGAATGCAAATTATTTAATTTGTTTCAGCAGAGAGGTAAGACTTTACAGATGCGATGGGAGCTGATTGAAACTGTGCTGTTGGGAAATATGCAATCTTCCCTCGATTTAGAGGTGTGTTGTAGTTACTACATTACATTTATTTATTTATTTTTTTATTTTTTTTATTTCAGTTTTATTTTATTAATCATCTAAATTATGCAGTTGATTTATATTTTAATTTATTGGATTAGTATAGTCCACAGACACTGTAATTTCTTCACCAAATGTTCAAAATTTTTGGCGAAAGTCATCTGCTGTTGAAAACTGCTGACCTGTCTCACGTTTCTTTACTTTTTTGTCCTGTAGGAGGCGATACTGGTGTATAACGCACGCTATGCTGCACGCTGGACGTTCGGCAGCCTGCATGAGCTCTTCACAGACCGGCTGAGTCGTCGCGAGGCAGACGACATCTTGCGCTACACGCTGCCCAAGATGGCCGAACTCGCGCTACAGCTGCCTTTCGTCGTGACCAGGGTAAAAAATACACGGGAGCGATGAGCGATTCGCTCTTCAAACCTCCGAAATCGCTCCCGTGAGGCTCAAATAGCTCCCGTAAAGTTATTGACAAGAACTATTTTTCCCACAGACTTGAAAAAGAGCTCTCGTGAAAAAAAAGGGATTTTTTCCCTGGTCGTGACCCGCGTGAGAGGCCTTAGTATTGATGCAGCATTACCTGTAGAGTGCGAGAGAGATGTGCAGAGCGTATTTAGTACAGCTGTTGTCTACCTGTGATTTACTGCGTATTATTACCTGTTGTTTATTTGTGATTTACGCTTGCATACCTGTCGTGTACCTGTGACCTCACTTGCACACAGCCGATACGACTGCTGAAGCATGGCTGCACACACAGCTTGACGTTCAGTCAGCACCAGGTGGCGTGCCTGCTTGCCAACGCCTTCTTCTGCACGTTCCCACGTCGCAACTCCACGAGCAAGCAGTGCGAGTATCAGAACTTCCCGACGATAAACTTCAGCGCCCTCTATTCGGGCAGTGGGCACGGCGGCGGCAGCGGCGGCGGCGGCGGCGGCCGTAAGCTGGAGAAGCTGAAGACCCTGCTGCATTACTTCCGCAGGGTGACGCGAAAGAGTGAGTTATTCACATAATGTTTATTTATTTTTATTTATTTATTTCTTTAGGCAAT